TTTTTTTTTTCGTCGTTCCAGCCGCACCATCTGACTCGGTTCCGTTTCGTAGCGTGTTATTACATAATTAATGAACTAATCGATAGCCACTAGGTCGCTCGTATAAGTGTGCCGTCATATCAAATTTTAGACTCCTCGAGCAAGTGATTCCCCTGCTTCGTTCCGTTGTTCCGTCGTATTTCACATCGAGCGCACGAAATTTTGTTGTTCATCCGACTGGTTCGTTTGTCCTCGTCAACCCGACGAATCTTCGTTGGCGAATGACGTTCGCGAGGGTAGCAAACATCGAGGAATGCTGCTTCTCGCGAGAGGCGCTGGATCAATTTTGCACGCGCGTAGGATGATGCACGCAGGATCGACCGTCCTTGAACGGTCGAAAATATGTTTGCAGGTCCATCGGCAGCGGAGTAGGTCGTCTCGCGTGGACCTGCACTTGCGAGATTCTTGCTGCAAACCTGTTCACCTTCGTCCTCGCTCTCGGATCCGTGGCTCGACTTTCGTATCTTCCGCTTAGCTGATTCCTGAAGATTCTTCGAAACGTGTTCGAGAGAAAGGGAGGGAGAACTAGACGAACGAAATTTGCTGATAATTTCCTTTTCCTGTCTGACTTTTCACTCGAGAGTCTGAGAGCCGTTCGTAACTAACGTTCGAGTAGTTTGTTCTTGCAACAGTTCTCAAAGAATTCCACGATGATTCCTCGCGACTAACGAAAAATCATTACGCAACGAGGTTCCCACGTCATCGTTCGACGGCCGAAACGCTTAATTATCGAGAGGGGGAATTTCAAGTTAGTGCCTCCAGTCAGCGAGATTTCGAATTACTCTCCCGTTAATTAACAGCGAGCTCGTTTCGTACCAGGACGTTTTCGACGAAGGCATTCGAACGCATTCAAGGCTCGAGAATATCGATTAAAGGCGTATCCGACAGTCCGCCAATTGTCCCGAGAAGTACTCGAAATTCCGTCGAATTAACCGGAAGCTTAACAATTTTCGATCTGAGGCAAGGGCACCATCTAATCCACGATCGATCTGTGGTCGCTCTTCTTGGTTAACGTCGACCTCCAACGCTGGCTGTTCCATCACACCGTGAACATCAGGAATCCCTCCGATTCTAGCAATTCCATTAGCCATCGTACAGACTAGTCGGGTACCTGTGAAAGCAATCGAGAAACATTGGACCGCTTTTCCGTGTATTAAAACAGCCACGATGAGCGTTTGACTTTACTCCTCGAAGAAACGTTAAATATATAGAACCTATCGCGACGTGGGTATCGTTCAATTGTAGATAAGTGAAATCCAGGATAGAGTAGTCGATTATCTTCTCCTTTTAGTCATAAAGCTAACTTGAATCTTGGTGATCCATTTCTAACAATGAGCGATCTAATAAACAATTTATTCCGAGAATTTTGGAACGCGTGGGTCAATATAGTTGAGTTGAATTTGATCAGTTGTTGCTCCAAATTGGAAATATTTCATCGCTTTTTCCAATGTGCCTCTCGTTCGCAATATTCGATTTATTGATGAATTTATAAAGCGTAAATAGACGGTAGCTGTTGGTGGAATGCCAGTGATTCAAAAGGTCGCGAAAGACGTGTTTTGTCAAACGAAGACGGCGTTACAGCTTGCAAAAGATACATGCAAAGACGAGCCAAAGAGGCTGTACTTTGAGCGTACTCGTAACGTGGAACCGGTCACGTACAGAAATTCCAGGAACTTGATGGAATTTTCGTACGAAGCACGAAATCGAGACTCTAGATTCGATCACCGAACTTCGTCGTAATTATTTATTTCTTGGATACGTTCGCCAATTTTTTTTTTTTATTTTTTCTCTCTGTTTCCTGTACAGATGCGAAGCGAGTGTGAGAACGTCTCGACACTGGCTGAAATTCACGACAAAAATGAACGGCTGTGATCTCGTGAAGCGTGATAAAAACGTAAAGGCTGTAACACGAGTTTTCCGTGATTGATAACGGCCCCGATCAATAATACGAGTCGAGCCAGATAAAAAGAAAAAAAAAAAAAAAAAGAAAAAAAGAAAAGAAAAGAACTCAGTTCCATGAACGTGTCCGAGTATGTAGTTTCGCCGATACGTGTGACGAGTTCGATGTATCGATGAACGTCAGAAATGTGAATTTGCGAGGCTTTCAAAGTCGGACGCGGCAGGAAACGAAAATTTCTTCCCCCGCACGGGAAACGAACGGTTTTTTTCATTTCGTCGAGTATCGAGATAATGCGACGCGGCGGCCGAAGTGTGCACGTGTGAAATCGTGTTTCTGACGAGGCAAAAATTATCGCCGACGCGACACGAGTGAAATGAGTGAAAAAGGTGTGGTGTCGTCGCTGAAGAATCGTGAAAGGGTGAGCGGAAGTATCTTCTGGAGGCACAGCTGGCACTGCTCTGCCTATTTATCGAGGGAATTGTCCTTTAGCAAGCTGAACAGCCCTGTTCGTAGCTGGGACAACATGGCTCGAGCCAAGACCAACAAGTAAGAGTTCAAGAACAGTCTTTTTGTACATATTTTTTTTTTTTCCTTACCCAGCGAGGAATGCATATTTCAATGCTTGACATGACTAATAATGATAAACGTGTAGAATATCTACGAAATGAAACGTGTAGATTCACTAGTATGTACTTACTTACGTTCTTCTGTCGCGTTCTTTCTTTGAGTCGTCAGACTTCTCAAAGTTATGATTCATTGATATTTGTTCGTCGATACACAGAAATCAAAGATAAATGAATATAGAATTTCTGGATAAAGAAAAAATATTGATTAGTGATGTCAAACATGCTCGGCATTCCGTAGCAATACCTACTCGAAATTGTATGTATTTTTCTGTGATATATGTTTTCTTTTCCTTTGTACGTTTTAATTACACGCTCGTCCTCTGTCACAGCAAAATATCCATCCAACGTATAATTTAACGATTAAAGTCTTTGGAGAAGAATCCTACCTCTTTATACGTTCCACGTGTAAAACGTGTACAAAACAGAAAATTAAATAGATGTCGGATACTCGAGCCGTGAGACGATGTTATCGAAAAAAAGAAAGGAAAAACGGAGCACATACAGTGTATACAGTTCCTTTGCACGCGTGTTATTAAATGTTACCTTTCGTCCTCCTATCTCAACGCGATATATTTTACGTTTCATAAAGATCGCGGGCAAGATCGCGTCTCGTGTTATAAATTTTCGCGAAAACCCGGCCGCGTTTTCGTTACCGTTCGGCACGCGAGGTAATTAGACGCGGGCGCGCGTTACATTTTCACCAATGGAAAAGAACAAGAACGATATTATTTCCGTCACGATCGATAAACGCTCGTTACCGTGGCGAAGCACGCCAAATTCTTCTCAGCTCGGACTCTCGGAACTTACGATGCGTACGTGTTGACCAAATTAATCGAATTCTTTCACGATTCGGAGTTTCAAAAGAAAAGAGTTTTACTTTACGCTAACGAGAAAAAAACACAGTCTCTAAGTTATTAGGTTAATGCGTTAATTAAACTCGTTTGCTTCCTCAAACTGAGATTTCAATCTCGACCCAACAACATTTAGCAAACATTGCATTTTTTGTGTCTGTAACCTAGTATCATTTTTCTAGATCCGGGTAAGAATCACTCGTGAATTTATATAGATTATTATTAAATTGTATAGATTACATGGATATAATTACGTAGATTATATAGAAATTAAAAGTTTAAAGTTTCGGGGTTTTTCCTGACGAGGAAAGTCGCGCGAACGTTTTGACTATTTATAGCGGCGAGGCAGGTTTGATAAATCTCCCCAACATCCAATGTACGTGATTTATAGAGGATTAACTTCTTCTTTAATGTGCACGATAATTGACGACGGGGCGAGATTTAATTAACAGCAGTGCTCCGCGAGAGTTTAAACAATGGAGAAACGACATTTCATACGCAGGAAACTAACGCGAGGCTATTTATTTAATGGCAACCTGATTAGTTGCCTTCGCGTAAATTTCGTTTGATTAATTGCCAAACTTTTGGGAACTTTCTGATGAATTTTTGGATGCGATGGCGAGCGTGCACACGCCACGGGGGACCGTTTACAAAATTTCATTCGAGTCATCTCATTTACGATTAAGCAAACTATTTATTCCAGCGATTTACCTTGCAAAACCTGGGAGATTCTTAGTCATAAACTGCGATTGAAAACCGTTTAGGGCACGATGTGTGCTCTTACGTTACACGTCATTAGACATAATCCAGGTCTCTAGAATTTCATTCAGACGTTCGCGTTTATTGGTGGAAAAGTCTCACGAAATTTCTTCGTCTCTGTTGCTCTGGAATTCTCTCTGACAATGAGATCGGTACAAAGATGACTGATTTTCCTTTCTAACGGCGGCCAGCAAGTTACGTTATGCGCATAAAAAGGGTCGACGAGGTCATCGATCTTTGACATCGGAAAACAGTTTTCGTCGTAGGACGGCGACGAAGGGTCGACTCGACACTAATTAAGTTCCTGCGCGTCAGCACGACGGATCAAATATGTCTACAAACCGACGCCCTCGTCACCCAGACGATTCTCTACTCTCCTTTTACGGCCCTAACAAGAGCGGAATATTACGGTTCTGATAAAAATTAAACGGAGCAACTCTTCTCCTCCGTCTCTTACGTTTCATTAACTTGCGACGACAGGACGCAAGATTGTACTTAAGCGTAATTACCAAGTTTGTTAACGATTCAATTTATGAATGGTAAAAGTGACCGAACAGTGAGCTCAATTTACGTCGTTTCAATTACAAACTAATTGGTTAAGCAAAGCGGAAGGAAGAAGTAGATACGTGTATTATACGTATACAGAAACTATTTTCATTAAAATATCTTCCAACTTGAACGTTTCGAGAAGAAAAAAAAAAACGACGTAAAACGTTAAACATACAAATTGAACAGCATCGTTGCAAGAAATCATCGAATGATAGCTTAAAGGGAAAGGCAATTCGATCATTCATTACGTCCTCTGATTCAAAGAGGCTTCGTGAAATGCTACCATTACTTCAATGGATCGTTCAGCCTGTAACAATCCTCCGCATAAAGTGGACTCGTTACAGATGCCACGATAAAAGAATTTCCGATCCACTTTTCTCCAAGTTCTTTGCTCGAGTAATTCGTTGGCTCGGCAGAGGGTAGGAGAAGAAAATAAAAAGAAAGCAGAGGTGACGGTGAAATAGAAACAGTTTAAGCTGGCTCGTGGTTAAAAACAAAGGCCGGGATACTTTGTTAAAAGGACGAGTTTAAACGGCGATCAATCTCGCAGTTATTTCGTAACGTTTGAATAATATTACGAAATATTGCGCAGTGGTTTCTCGCTCGAGTAGGACAGGTGCGCGAGGGGAATGACATTTTACTTCCTTTTTATAACTTGAATTTTCTCGAGGCCTCTCGTGCATAATTTCTCCGCGAGGTAAAGCGATGGGCCAACAAGCGGGAAGAATACGGAAGAGAAGCGGAAGAGAAAATCGAAGCGGGAAGACGATTAATCGTCAAAGTGTAAGGGCGGTTCGAGATGAATTATTAATTCGACAGGAACGAAGATTAATCGTCTTCCGGCGCGGCGGAAACAAACTTTTCGTTTGCTTCGAACTGATTGGGTCGTCGATGAATGTCACGTGGGGCCGATTGAACGAACGTGGAAAGAAAATGGTATTCGCCGTTTTCCTTCCCGATTCTAAAGTAATCGTGCGGAGCAAAAGAAAAAAAAACCGGAAAAAAGAAGAACATTCAATGAGGACTTCCTACCCCTTGCGTAATCTCTCCACGTAATTTCTCGCAGTCGCGTGATAAATTTCGACGATAAATATCCTAGGAATCGCATGCTTTAATATTTAATATTCTTCTGTCTTTATAACATTCCACTTCGTTCTCGTTCTGGGTGTGTTCATATATTAACTCGATGATCTTGATAAGCGTAAAACTAAACCTGACCTACCGTTGCGTAACAAGCGTGCAACGATATTGCTGCTCGTACGAGAAAGAGAAATAATTTGTCAAGCGAAACGTCGGACACTGCGTACAACGTTTATTACGTAATTTATACTTGGCTATGCATAATGATCTGACGAGGAGGTCCGAGAAGGGATATTCGAGCACGCGATCGCGAAAGAGGGCTGCGAACAGATGCGCGAACGGGGAGGATGTCCAACGAAAGCTTGCGGCAGCAGGCGGCTCTCTCCGAGTTTCCCCGAGGTTTCTCTTGTGAATAATTTCGCGATACGATACACAAAGCGGCAAGAAAGGGATAAGAACGTGCTATATACAGGGAGAGAAGAAGGGACGAAAGAGCGAGAGAGAA